TGCCTCCAAAATAACATAATACAAATACATTAATCAAAACAAACGAATATGCTTCATCTCACTGAGATGGTCGTACATCACCAATTCTTGAAAATGTTAGATAGGGATGAGCAATATGCCCAATAAAGATACATTTAACAGAATATCTAATCATTTGAACATCCAAGTGGCATCATCATAACTTAAATATAATTTTAGAGCTCATGTTCACAAATAAAACGGTAAAAAAAACAACAATTACATTTCTATTTCCTGGAAAAGAAAACCATTCTCAACACAGGAGGTAAATATGCCATGAATCTCTCGTAGGAGCCTCGTACTAAATATACATATAGGTTTTCAACCAAAACTATTCCCCACATTCCCCGACTATTAATACGGTAAGTGGTGGACATCCAAAACTATTTGTTTTTTCACTTTTGCTGACTATTATATGGCAGGACCAGTGAGCACCCAAAAACTCTTACACATATTTGTCTAGTGATAAGCTCAAGACAGAGTAATTGGGGACCTTAATTCCCCACGCGGGTACCAACACAACACATTATTTCCAAAACAGACTCTCTACCCAGATTCACACTCTATTTACCTCCCCTTTTTACCACATTCCAAATAATCAAGTATTCAATAAAACATGAGATGAATAGTGAAAATAGAATACATAGGTTATCAATTTCCAAGTTCACAATCTCAACTCAAAACACATTAATAATGTATTCCAAACTTAATTATCCACACAATTCAAGATTTGAATTCCAATTCCATCCAAGCATTATATTTTCCCAAATCAAAATTAGGGTTTTAACAAATTTGGGGCTTTTACCCCTTTTCATAGCATGAATATAATATTTATAGGATGAGGAGGACGTGAATGACTATCCAAAGGTGTAATATATACGACTAAGGTTTTGGGTTAGGAGAAAGAATTAGTTAAAAAAAAAAAGTGCACAAGAAGCATCTTTTTCATCTTTCCTTCTCAAAATAAAGAGATACTACGTTTAAAATAACCCTACCTCAAGGAAGAGCAAGAAAACTAGAAGAATCATTCGTACAATCAAAATCCAATTGGTAGAAAGTATGATCCTTATGTAAACTCCACCTCTTGCAAGTGATTTTCGCTTGAAACCTAGTGAAATGAGAGATATGTAGAGAGAGAAATCTAGGGTTTTTGCACTTAGTGAAAGAGGAAAGAATAGAGAAAAACAAAAGTGAAAGAAATAAGCTAAAAAGTAGTTCTTAAGATGCTGAATTCGAGCAAACCGCTCGAGTAGTCTTTTCATTGCTCGAGCGGTGAACGATATCTCTTAGTATCTTTGCCCTAATCTTCGCTTGAGCGAAAAAGTAAGATCCTTATGTAAACTCCACCTCTTGCAAGTGATTTTGGCTTAAAACCTAGCGAAATGAGAGATACGTAGAGAGAGAAATCTCGGGTTTCTGGACTTAGTGAGAGAGAAAAGAAGAGAGAAAAAGAAAAAAAAAGTGATTTTTATGATGCTGAATTCGCGCAGACTGCTCGACCGGTTTTTTCACCGCTCAGTATCTCTGTTTGCAAAACGAGATACTGGGAACCCCTAATCTTTGCTCAAGTGACCATTTGTTCGCTCGAACGGTCCTTAGCCCTAGAAAACAAACTACTGGGAGCACATGATCTCCGCTTAAGTAGTATTTCCACCGTTCGAGCGTTCGCCTGAAACAAAATGTCACAAATAAAATGTCCAAAATCTTGTGGTTGATATTATAAAAGTTTGTGACTTGATTATAACATTTTTTGTTACGTCAATTTGTGACGAGATTACCCCCTCTTCATTACAAATTAAAATTATTCTTTACATGGTGATACTATCGCATACTATCGCTATTAAATTTAATATTTTTACCATCAATTTAGGGGTTAGGACATCACTACTTTAACACAAATGAGAGATAGACTCTCTAGATTTAAATGGTCACATTTGCTCCAGGTAGTTGTAACACATAAGTGGCATTAAAAAATGGTGGTGCTACATGCACCAATTAGTGTACTAACTATTGTACCAACACTAGTTATAACACTATTATTGACCTCACTCATTATACAAATTACAAATACCAAAAACCTCTTAAATTATGCCATCGCATCAATTGTTACATTAATTAGTACACTAATTGATGCATATATCATTATTTATTTTTAAAAAAAGTGGGAATTCTTTATTCTCAAATTTATTGGGAAAATTCCATAGTAACCATATATACGCCTTAATTATTAGGGTAAATTACATTAACTTTTCTAAAAATTTGAAAAAAATATATATAGTGAATTATATAAGTTTGACATAATTATATTGGACTCCCTTAGTATTTTAATTCATGTAACACTAGCCACCTTTTTCATCAAAATTTCATTAGCCAAATGCGTGAAAAAATGATGTTGCCATTTATTTTACACTGAAATGTATATATATTGTTTATCTTCGTGTCTTCATTCCATTTGCAATAGTTGCAGTCTCTTTAATCTTATTAAAAGGGAAGTCAATATAATTATATTAAAATTGTCACGCTTGTTGTATTTTTTTCAAATCTCAATGGAAGTCAATGTAATTTACCATAATTATTAAGATTTGTAGTTTTAATTTTGAATGATGGGGTTTTGTAATAGTCAAATTTATAGTGAAATTGGTTTTGAAATTTTGTGGTGATTGATTATGAGATTCTTGTAATATTTTCTGTTGTTTTGTTGTGAATCCAAGGAACCTTAGTTATTATGTGGCTTTGTAGTGTTTTGTTATGAACTAATTTGATTTTGATTATTTGAATTAGTTGAAGTTACGAACCATTGTAATTATAATTTTGGATGTATAATTTGAGGATGTGTATTATAACATTCACGATTCACATATGCCTTTACTATCACAAAAATAGTTAAAAATCACACTTTGAAAAAAAAAATATCTCACTTTTATTGAAAGTGTGATAAAAAAAATTAGATTGATATTTTTATCACATTTAATTTGATTGAGTGTGATAATATTTATTTTTTATGTCACTTTTCAATTAAGTGTGATTATATATATATTTTTTAATCACACCTTCTAATTAAAGTACACTACTACTTTTTAATCACACTTTTTAAATAAGTGTGATTATAAATATATTTTTTAATCACACATTAACAGCAGTGGTCACACAGCAGTGACCCTGCATTCTTGATGTATAGGCTATCAATAATTAATATTATTTGATTTGGAAGATATTGATAGCAAAATAAGAGGAATGTCATATTTTTCATTTTATAGCAGCATAGACAAGAGGAATGTCAAATCGCAGGCAGCATTTTGGATTAGAATTTGATATAAATTTAGATCTATACTTATTATGTAATTTGAATTCTTGCTTTCAAGTTTGTATGCATTCTTTTGGTATATTGAGTTTATGACTATTTCATTAAAAGTGCTTTACATGCTTTGGTCAATGTATTTTCTTATTATACTTGGCATTATCCTAGAAGTCACCTGAGAGATTATCAGACACCGGGACATGGTGATTTCCTAAAAATTAAGATACGAACATGACAGAGATATGACAATTTTATATATATAATTTTTGCTGTTTTTATGAATATTGCACCCACAAATAACCAAAAAAATGAAACATTAACAAAAATTCAACATGAAAAAACAACTCAAATTATAAACTTTAATGAATTTAAAGGGTATTGGAAAATATTTTTTATTAATTATAAACTATTACATCATAGTTGTTTGCCTTTATCAACATTAGAAATTGTGGGTCTGCTTCTAGCATAAGTAGAAAACTTTCCTATAATCATTACAAGTTATAAAAATAACAATTTCAACAATCAAACATTGATTTAGATAAGGGGAAAAATGCCACTGGTATTGTTTACGGAGAATACTACAAAGTGATGATTAGCATAGACAAGATGTTTACATAGTCGTGATTATAAATTTATAATGACACTTTTTACAACATATAGAAGATAATATCTAGGAGTGTGTCCAAAGGTAGGACACACATGTTCATTACCTATCCCCGACATGTCAAGGAGGAAAAAAGATAATTAAAAAATGAGGCATGCCACGTGGTGTGTTTGGTATTCATCCCGGTGTGTCAGAGGTGAGTCAATGTTCGACATGTGTTGGACACAGAAACAACTAAGTTGAAGTGTCCATGCTTTATAGATGTGCCTTAGATTTTTTAAATAGATGTGGAATCAATTAAACTAATTTATTTGCTACCTGTCTTTTTGAATAGATGTGGAATCAATTAAACTAATTTAGATTGGCTTCTCCAGATCAAAAAATTACAGAACCATAATAGAAATCATGATTTCACCTGAAGTGTCCACACTCCTTTAGGACCTCGGAAATCAGGTATCCCACAAGATGTTGATATTCCTGCACCTGTAAATACTACTAGGTGCTTACTCTGCAAGTACAGAAGAAGAAATTCAAAATGGTTAAATAATAATTAATCTAGAAGAGATGTTTTTGAAGATGTAAGAGACAATGTGATTAATTAGTTTTAGATTTTAGAAGTCCTTAACCTTCTGTATCATCAGCGCAAGCTTTTTAATCTGCCATTCAACAGTAAAACAAATGATATTAGAGAGCTGAGACAAGATCACAGAACCTCATTTCAATGAAAATATTAAAGAAAGGTGACTAGTGATAGTTAATAGTTCTTACTGATTTTCAGAATTTCTCAGTATAATATATACAGTGTGTACCCTTCATCCTGCATATGTATGGATATGTATTTGATAAGTTTAACAGAGGGTGGAGGAGTCTACATGATTCATTTTCTTCATCATAGCTTCGAACCACCATTGAAGTTACTCACTAAAACCACCGTTGAAGTTTGTCTTTCAAATCAAAAATCTCTTGAAATTCCTGGTGAGTCCTCTGGTTTTTATGCCCCTTTTGTGTGTATTTCTGTTGGTATAGCAGAATCACAAATTTTGCAGAGTTTTCTTCTCTGTCTGTGTATTTATGCTCTTGTAACCATAAGTAAGAAATAACATGCACAATAAGATGTATGATCCTAAAGATCTACCTTGTCCCCAAACACAATACTATATCAGCCATTCGACAATGTTTCTCAGCTGCATTCATCTCTGTCGGGGGCAAAACATCCTACAAGAAAAAGGTTAACCACATTCATCAACATTGAGAACTTCACGAAAAGGTTTTCTATGCTTTTGATTGCATTGGAAGCAATCTATTCTGGAAAATAAATAAATAATAAAAAATAAATCATTTTGTTATTTGAATATGGTAACAACTCTGTAAAGAAGAATCCTACTGCACACATGTTTCCTGTTCTGTTTCCAAAAATTCAGAAAACAAAAACAAAGTTCAAAGTAACAAGAGACAAATTGACTCCAAACAAGTCCTTAGCTATCAGATTCAACAATTTAAGGTTTTAACACCACTAAAATGTACTCCACAGTTTGACATTGCAACAAGAGTTCTATTTTGGCTTTCTAGCCTACAAATTGTATAAGTATTTATGTATGCCGCCTTTGTCATCTGCATAGATCTTTGAGTAAGTTGCGAATGAATTCTCTTCAATTACAAATAGCTGAGGACACTGCTCTTCCCTTCAATATAATGCAACAAATGAAAATGAGAGTCATAGTTACCTCCCAATCAAGAACAGTATCCTTAAGTTTTGCCGCACACTTCACATCAGAACAGCTCCTTGATGTCTTCTTCAACCCAATAGTCTCCACCTCAAAATCCCACAAATACCTTCAAACATCAAGTAATTGAATTAAAAACCATGAACTGAAAAAGTGATAATTCTAACCTTCTATATCAGATGATAAAATTGCTAACTTTGACTTAAAACAGATTATGAGCAATAGAAACCATTTAAAATTTTACACTTACTCCACTCTACATTTGGAGCAAATTTCCCTGAAGGAGTTCCCATGCAATTCTGCTTGTTTCTCTCTTGGTATTCCAGATCGGAGATGTAGGCTATCCACATTCTAGAAGATACAAAGTATTGAACAATTAATCATAAAAAGTCTAGCAGATAGAGTGATAGACTTAGCAATCCACATATAAAAGCCCATCTGCATGAACATAAGGCTTAATATGAGATAGCAAAGAGGAAATGAAATATAAAATACTCCAAAAAAAAAAAAGAAAAAAAAAAAGAGGAGGTAAAAAGAGATCTCATCAACCAGCCTCAAGCTCAGGTATTCTTAAAGTACAAAATGTATGAGACAATGAAAGAACGGTACAATATTGGCTAAGTTCTAGATGTATTCCAAACTTGCACTATCATTAGGCAACAAAATCAAAATGCCACAGGCAAAAAAAACAAGGGTATGAACTATCATACAATAATTTGCTGATGATAACTAGATATAATTTTATGTTCTTATGATAATAGATAATACATGAAAGGTAATCTTTTTTGGCAATTCATGTCTTTGTTTCAGCTCGTTTCTGCATAATCTACTATAGTTCCTATATAAAACAGTGGACTGTGGAGAGGCAGGCTTTATGGATCTTTTAGCTAATTAAAATCTGCCATTCTGTTGAGTGCCTAAATTCACTAGTCCTGTTTTTTTTTTTTTTTTTGGTTTTAAATTTATGGAAGTTTGAAGGGGACTTTTGAAGGTTTTGGTTCCAATCTTTAAGCAGGGAGCTAGACTAAAATTTGCAATTTTAGTTTTGTAAAATTTCAGTAAAACCTCACCGACTGATGTGGCTATAAATTGTAATTTTCTTAAAAGCTAGTAAGGGAACTATAAGGTACAATGGCAAGTAAACCTCCTTGCTTCTTGTCCTAAAATCAAGAAACACACTTGTACTTCTCCTTTTCTTATGGCAACTGGCTTGACAAAACAGCCTGAGAAGATATTTTGTCCTTCTTATGTAGTTACATTTTCAACTCCTTCACTCCTCGCTATTTTCCATCCTTGTATCAAAAAAAGGATTGATCTTATTAATGCCTTAATGTTCTGTTCAAATGGGTCAATCACTATTAGCTTGTTTTATTCATCTTGCTAAATCCCTACCCAGAATATTATAATTTTTTATATAACAAAAATTTGGTATATAGTTATTGAACAATACAGTACTTATATGTTATTAGGATCAAAACATGGTTATAAAAGGAGCATTAGAAGAGCATTATGAAGTTGGTCAAACTTAACGAAACCCACCCAATTTAAATAGAGATAACAAGCTGACCTTGACAAGATTTAAAGGAACAACAATAAAACACTCTAATCAATTTGAATTTTTTATTGAATTGAATCTAGTTCTTAGCTCTTTTTATTTTATATTATATTATATATATTTATTTTCCCCCTCTTGTTTCTGTTAATCTATGTGAATATTCGATGCCATTTGATTTTAATGGAAAGTACATCATTCACTCTCTATATAGCTGTGTTTATTTCATGTATATTCAATATCATCCTTCTAACTATTCAACACATCTTTATCAAAGATTTGAAAGGGCTTTGAAAGAGGGCATTTCTTCAACTATACGAATCCAAAAATTTCAACATTTTGCACTGTAGTTTTGCCTTACTAGCAGATTCAACTTTAAAATAATAATAATAATAATAATAATAATAATAATAATAATTGGATTGTCAATAAGATGTTGGCATTTTTACTTGTAGTTCATAGTTAATGTTGCCCCCATTACTTGATATACTAGTTTGTCCTGTTGCTCATGCATATTTTGCCCATGATGAAAAAAAAAATGTCTTTGTAAGAATGTATGTCTAAGTATTGTATTTTCATGTTAAAATGTTTGACTTATATTCATTTTCTTCATGTCTTTATATTTAATTGTCTAACTATTTGACATTTTTTTCTTAAATTTTTATTTTATTTTATTCACAGGATGGATACTTCTCATGTCCTGCCTACTGATGGAGAGGATGCATGGTTACCAGCAACAAAACCAACATCTAATAAAAGAAAAGGCAGAAGTTCGACAACATTACCGTATGTCATAAAGGATAGGAGTTTTGGTGTACGAAAACCATTGACTATAACGAGAATGGTCAATTGATTGGAAACAATTCAATCAAATGTTTAAGCTATCATGGGGTGTTGGCTCGCACAATGATTCCGATATGCTATAAAGACCGGTTTGAGGTGCCAGCTGAACTGAAAGAAAAATTATGGAGTTGTGTGGAGGTAAGCAAGACACTTAAACATGTATTTAAGTGCAACCAAAATTAGAATTTTATAACGTTATATTTTTTGACTACTCAGTTAACATACAAAGTGGATGAAAGAAGTAAGAAAAATGTGTTATCTTCAATTTGTTCAAAATGGAGGACATTCAAGAAATTACTTACCAAGTACATACGTGAAAACAAGTCCAATCTTGAGATCATATCAAACCCACCAGCAATTTATGGATTCATTGAACAAAGACATTGGGACTCATTTCTTGTAAGGCGACTATCAGAAGAGTTTGAGGTAAAAATAATCAAACTTTAGTTATTTAAAATGATAGTATTAAATGCTAGACCCGTCAAACTTCATATAGTTCTGTAATAACAGTGGCATGCCCCTTGTAGTATTGTAAATTTTATGTTTTATTTTATGACTTATTCACCTAAAAAAAATATTAAATGCTATACATTTGGATTAATTTTGTGTGTTACATTTTCAAAGATTTTGAGCCAGGTTCAGAAATGGAGACGAAGTCAAAATAAGTATAACCATAGAATTAGTCAAAAGGGCTATGCTCGCTTTCAAGAAGACTATGTGTGGTTATAAATTTTATTATTTAATAACAATTTTGATATCATTATTTTGAAAATTTGATGTATGTTTAATTGACAGAAACGTATGACCGGATCTATTGAAGATTTGGATAGAAGCGTTCTATGGAAAAAGGCTCGTCAAAATAAAAATGGAGAATATGATGACAAGACAATTATGGAACAAGCTGCGAGAATTGTAAGATATTTGTGTGTACGGATTGCATTTTTTTTATATTATCTTAACTGTTCATCTTTCTTATATAGTAATGTAATATTACAGGATGAGTTGACCAAACAAAAAAGTGATGGGAGTTTAAAGATTGAACGATGCAATGACATTCTTACTATGGCATTGGGTACTCCTGAATCTTCTAGTCGAGTAAAAGGTGTAGGAAATTGTCACACCTAGCACCTACTTTCACTTGCCTAGACATGGGAATCAGTCACATTGGGTGAAGAAGTGTAATGCTCTTGAGGCAGTGGTGGTACAATTGCAAGCTAGGCTTAGTGCAGTGGAACAACAAATACCATATACAGCAGAATCTGAACATGTTAGTTCAAACATCTTGAGAAGTGGTTATGAAGGAAATTTTCAGCCTGATTTTCTCTTAACAGAAAACAGAGTTAGAACTAAGGATGACATTCCACCCCAAGCTCTTACCCAAAGGATTATAAAGGTGTGTAGCATTTAGAACACCTAAAGTTGTTATATTTTCTAATATTGTTAGTAATTTTATTAGTGCTTTTGTTGTTATATGTGTGTTTGTTATAGAGCAAATGTTCAAACACATTGAAAAGTGGTGGTAGAGGCAATTTTCAGCATGATTCTTTATTAGCAGAAAATATGGTGAGAACTAAGGATGGCATTCCACCTCAAGATTCTAAGCAAAATAAGAGAAAGGTGTGTAGTTTTTATCTATTGATGTTATAATTTCTAATATCGTTAGTGATATTATTAGAAATTACATTTTTTACTCTGTGTTATAGGGCAAACCATGTAAACTCGCGATAGGTTCCATTGAAAATATTGTTGCTCATGGTACGGTGTATGAGAGAATTGAACATAATGAAGCCATCCATACGGTGCCATTAGGAGAATCCAATGTACGCGTGTCTGTTGAAGTTGTTATTCAAAAAGATGCCCCTCTTCCTATACCTATCCCAGATGAGATGCTTATTGTTGGAGAAGCTGTGGGAATTTTTGTTGCTTGGCCCAAAAATCTTGTATTGGTCGGTGATGAGGTAAAATATTTGTAACGCCCTCAAAATAATACATAAACCCAACACCCAACAGTTCTATATACATGATAGATAGATCACATTCCCATACATACATCAGAGTTAATATTACAAAAGAGTGTTTCATATACGTTACAAATGTATACAAAAGTAATAGAATGCCCTGCGGGCTTACATCTTTCCAAGTTGTTACTTAGTTACACAAAAGAAGAGTTCTAACTCTTTTACAGGTAAAGCCCTCGGCTTGCATTTACATAAAATCAACAAAACCAATAGCAAGTAGAGTCTTCAACTCTGAAAACCTCCGAGGCAAAGTTCTAGAACTTGGCACGTCTCCTGTACCTGAAAATGGTGTCCGAAATAGGGTGAGCCAAAGCCTAGTAGAGATATACTAAACCCAATATGAGAAAAATAACTAAAACATTATCATTCGACAAATGATTAACACGTGTAAACCAATTCACACCCAACTCATAGCCCAACAACAATTACATCCATGCTACCTGCCACCTCCCTTATTTATCCAATCCAATTCCTAGATATGGTTCATTATCTAACCCAAACAATTTAAGTGAGACTACCACTCGACATTTTAACACCTCCGTTACCCTCAATTCAAAATGAGACTACGTCTCACATAATTAATACCTCAATTGACAACTTCATTCCTGCACTTCAATTTATAAGGTTGCGGGACTTTTACCCCAGACTCTCCGACCAACTTAATTGTCTATAGAGTACATTCCCCATCTTCTCGTAAATAACGGTACTTATACAATGTACTTAAACATATAATCACCTTTTGAGTACATCCCCTAACTCCTCTCAAACAGAGATACATAAACAATGTGTTAAAGTATATGAACACATATGGAGTACATCCCCTATCTCCTTCCAAACAAAGATACATAAACAATATGTTAAAGTATATGAACACATATGGAGTACATCCCATATCTCTTCTCAAACAAATATATATAAACAATGTGTTAAAGTATATGAACACATATATGTGTGGAGTACATCCCCTATCTC